TCTGTGGGCCCATCTGCCAAACGGGTTTGTCACTTACCACACAGGGCCCAGAATAGCTGTGATGGCACCAGATCCGATCTGCAGAGCGGAAGTATGGAGACAGTGCTACCTCATGGAAATGCAGCTTTATTTAGTAACGGGTGTCTGGCAGCACAGTCTGTATTTACAAAAAAAGAGAAAAAAAAAAAAGGGCCTTTTTCCTCAAGAGATTCAAATTTGAAGTAAAAGATCCGAGAAACCCTACATGCACAGGCAGTGTGCTAAAGCTTTCCCATGTGCAGTGAGCTTTGCAATGTCTGTTCTTGCAGGAAAAGGCACAGATAAGGAGGGAGGAGAGAGCTAAAAGGCGGCAGCGACTGGAAGACATAAATACCCTGAAAAGTATGGGCTATTCAGAGCGAGCTGCTCAAATAGCTCTTCGAAATACACAGGGAAACCTGGACCAAGCCTTTAAGGTAAGTGATTTTTCAGGAGTAGTAGTGCTGTACAAAAAAACTTGTTTGTTCTTGGGGAGGGGGGGTGTTATTGTTCAGTAGATTCTTATTTTCTGTAGACTATATTTGTTAGTTCATAGCTACCTTTTCTGGGTATCGAGTTGCAGCGACTTAACTTGAACTTCCTGACCCCATGAATCAGATATCACTTAAGTTGGCTGAGGTTTGCTTCTATCCACTCTGGGGCTACATACATATCCATGTCGAGGACTGTTGTGACTCTGCTGCTCTATTCTGGTCCCTCTCTGTTTTTTTGTAGTTTCTTCTTGACAATCCAGAGTTACTGTTGGAATATGATGACGATGATTCTGTGGCCACGGACCAGTTCCAGGTTTCCCCAGAAAGTATTGAGCAAGTAAGTTAGACCACTTGCTTTCTTGGGAGTTGGTTGTCCTGTTTCTGAATTATGCCTTCAAACATAAGGCAGATCTTCCTTAAGCAAAGCTCTACAAATATTCCTTGACCCATGTCACTCAGGCTGTCACAATTCCACTCTCTGGCTCACTCCTCACAGTGAAGTCATGCTCAAGCTAAAATGTAATTTGTGTGTACTTCCTGCCCATTGCACCAACCTGCCATGCACAGGTGCAGAGGAGAAGTATGTGCACTGCAATGCTCTATCCCAAAGAAGACAGCAAATGAGAAATTTATTCAAGTCTGCAATGCTCAAGGGAAAGAGTTGGAACATGTCTTTCTCATGACAGGCTCGGCAGTTGTTAGTGTGGCTGAGTAATTAATGTCAGATAGGCAAGAAAACTGTATTGCCTAGAGAAAGTAAATAGCACGTGCACCCTCCTGACACACTGGAGTGCTTTGAAGTTTCCTTTTGAAAACAGAAAAAAATTGGTCTGATACTAGACAAGAGGCTTTTTGATCCTGCTCAACATCCCCATGCCTTTAATAGGTCACTGCCCTGTTGTTAACTGTTCACTAAGCCAGAGTCAGTGTCCTGGAATTCCTGGCATGCAGCACTTTCCTCTGTGTGTGAAAGGAATGACTGTGGGATGCAGAGTCATATTCCTGTCAGACCCTGATGCCAGATGAGCTTGGATTTCTCCAGATTTTCTTTATTTTGGTTTTTCCCCCCTCCTGCAGCTGATGTATATGGGTTTCAGCCGTGAGTCAGCAGAACAGGCTTTAAAAGTCTTTAAAGGCAACATCCACCTGGCTTCCCAAACCCTTGCTCATTATGGGGGAGTTCTTCCTGCTTCACTGCTGCTGTCCTCAGAAGGGTCCAGCCCATCTGAGGAATCAGCTTCATCAAAGGACTTGCTTACAGAGTCTGCAGGTAAGAATGTTGCATGCAGTAGGTGGGGAAGGGGAGGGCTTTTCTTCTGGCTTTCGTATGGAATAATTAAGTGATTTCTGCTTAAACAGTGATAGAGGGGCTCGAGTAATGCCCCAGGCTGCTTTTCTTGGAAACACTGTTACAGGCAAGGCAGCCTTTGATAATCGATACTTGCACATGTATTTTTTTTCTCAAATTATTTGTCAGAGCTGTAGTGATCCCTGTTGTATAACTAAAGGCCTTCCTACACCTTTAAATAATAGGAAATAGTAGGAAAAACTGGCCATCCTGCCCTATCCTTTGCAGAGTAGTTGCGAGAGGTAGTTGTGCAGGAGGAGACTGGCAGAGCAGCCACGCTCGTGAAAGAGGGAAAGTACCAACTTCTTTCAGAGGTGAATTCACTGCTGCTGCTTTTTATTGAAAGGTTCTTCTAGTTCACCAACAGATGAAGACATGGAGACTGATGCAATCAATGAAATTCTAGAGGATATTCCTGAACATGAAGAGGATTATCTGGATTTAACACTGGAGGAAGAAGAACAGATCATTCATGAATACTTATCCTATATACAAGTACCACAGCACTAAATCCCATTAAATCTACTTCAGTTATGTGTATTTACCTTGTCAAATTGAGTTTGGATTATAAATGCACCTTCAGCTTATCTCTTATTAAGGGCCTTGAATTCAGTTAAACTATAGATGGAATATTAATTCCTGCTTATTTGTAACTCTGCTTAAAGCCTACATTTGTGATACATTGTAATTTATTGTCATAGCAGAAAAATAGAAACATTTATTTTCAGAAGGAAATTTAATAGAACTAAACTATATTTTTATTGTGAAACAAGTTAATTCACTTAGCAAAGAAGCATTTCTATACCATTTTAAAATACCAGCTTTAAAAGAAAAACATGACTTTGTAAATCAGAAACCTTAGCTCATGAGGCTGTAGAGGTATCAGCTTTCCAGCTGCTTTCCTTTTCTTCTGAAAGATTTCTAAGAGACATTTATGTATCTGTTGTGCATGGTTTTTTTACCATGTTCCTCTTGTCCCTTCCTGCAGGTGTTACACAGGCAATAAAGGTAACTCAGTGCTGTTTCTGCTTTCAGTGAGAGACCTCTGTGCTTTGTTAAATCCAGTGTTAAAACAGCAGGGCCCTGTCCTGGGGCTGGTGTAGTGATGTACTGGTATTTCCTTTTATAACTAAATAACCAGTGTCCCCAAGCAGCTCCTCTTAACCTCTGCAGGTGTGTGGCTGATGGATTTCCTGGGGATTACAAGACTTTCTGTAATCAGCTGCTGAACAGAACGTGGTGCAGGCGCTGTCTCGGTGGTTGTCTCCAGCTTCAGCATTCTGAAGAAGTGTTTGGGGGTTTCTGTGGTTTTACCACATCCCGTTTTCTGCCCTGTAAACGCTCCTCTCTGCCGGGAACAGGAGTTCCCCTGCCTGGCAGCTTTTCTTGGACGTGGTTTATTTGCTTTCCATGACTCGACGCTCTCGGTAGAGGGAGCCCAGGCCCCGTCTGGAGCCGGTGGGAACGAGGAACCTGCCGTGGTGAACCTTCAGTCTGGTGACAGTGTATCCTTACCCGGCACTTATCGGTGGGGAGATGGGAGCTTGAACTGTTGGGATACTTGGAGGGAGCAGAGCTTCGGCCTGTGGAATAACCACTCGATGCCAGCGGAGGGACCAGAACAGGCTGCAGTAGTGGATTGTTTTATTTTCTGACTCCCTCAGCCAAGCTCGGCAAAAGGCAGGCAGTGATTGCACTGTTAAGGAATTATTTGTATTTCATGCTTCTTTATCAAGGCAGGTGTTATAAAAATTGAGTAGTTTTCTATCTCCTCCAAGAAGGCTGAAGCATTTCTAAAGCCAGCAATACAAGCTTCTGAGGGGAAACCAGCCCCAGCACCCATTCTATCCTGCTTCTCTGCCAGCCAGCCCTGAGGAACCACTGGACAAAATGCAGAGCAAAACCAGAAGGTAGAAAATAATTTAAAACTGAAAACATACAAGGTCATGGATGTAGTTTTAACAAGAAGCAGGTGAAAACACACAAATTGGCTCTTTCCTTCCTGAACCTACTGCCTGCAGCCCCTGGGCATGCACCATATTGGGCTGAAGAGGCAGTACTTCTCCTCTCTGAAGTGGCTTGCACAGCAAACTGGCAGGGACAACTTCAGAAGGGAAGGTTTGTCCTTGGGGAATTTAAAATTAGCATCATAACATGCAGTGCTTGTCAGAGAAGCCATTCATCAATGATGTAACTCTGCCAGCGCTGCTGCCCCCCGGTAACTGCATATGCAGTTGTAAGTGATCAGCAGGGCAGGAGGCACTGGCTGAAAGTTATAAGTTCATTTGACCATGCATTTGGAGGCACTGTGATATGTTTAGCAACAGGCAGAAGTGGTAATGACTCATTAATTCCACTCTGTGAGATCTGTGCTGATTGCCTGTGCAGCTGCTCTGTGCCCAGATAGGCTCTCGCATCTAATGTACTGTGTGTGAAGTTTTAAAGAGAAAGTACAGCCCAGGGGATCTGGGGAACTCTGTCCATCTCATAAAGGCCACCTACTTAGTGTTGCCCTCAGAAACAAAATACAAAGTCAGCTGCATGGCAAACATCACCCAGCAGCCACCAGCTCATAAACATCTCTCACAGGGCCAGTACTGAGCCATAACCACTGGACTGAGAGCTTTACAGTGGAATTAGGTCTGCACGATGCAGATGACCTCCTGTATTAGTCTCTTGGTAGGTATTTCACATAATTTAAATGCTGCTTCCTACAAGATGCAGGAACCTGCCACTGAAGAACCACCAAAGCTGCTCAGCAGGAGAGGTGAGCAGGTAGGTGACCAGCCCGACCCACTGACACAGTGTGACCAAGTCAGAGTGGGGGGCTTTGGTGCCACCAGGGCAAGAGCTGAATCAGGGCATGTGCCCCTGTCATACCTGCTTTCCCTTAAGTGTCTGCTTTGTTTTATGGCTGGTCACTCCTTCCCCTGATAGGGGATCTGAGCTCTGGCACTCTGGTGACTGGAAGGAGGCAGGACAGCTCCACACACACCTGATTCCAGCCCCAGCAGTGAGGGGAAGGCAAGAAATGTTTCCAAAAGTATATTTGGGTTTTTTTCCCCCATATTCCATATTCCATCCATCCTTGACTGCTGAGCATCTGCAGCCAGCCAACCCCCCTCTAAATGAGACAAAAATAAAAACTAGACAATCGCTTGTCTGTAGATGCCACATGTTTATTAATCCATTCTAAAAAAAAGAATACAGCATTTTTATCTTGCTGTAGTACAGAATAAATAAAGCCATAAAAATAAAAACATGTGGTTAGGTATTTTTGGACTGGTTCTACAAAGAGCTATATCTGCAAATAGAAAAATATAAGAACCCTTGTTAATTCATGGCTCAGTGGTTATCAGAGAGGGATGAACCTGAAAAAAGACTGGGAGACCTTCTCTTGAGTTTGACAGCTTATCCAATGCTACTAACAACCCAGCAAGACACAGCCTCGAGAGGAGGAAAGACAGTACATACAGAGCACCCAATAAATCCTGGTTTGCTCTCCTCTTCCATGAAAATTACAATTTGGCATTCCTAGTGGATGTAAGGAAAACCTTCCCCCCTGTAAAGCCAGCCAAGCAGAGGGCCAGGCTACCCACAGAGGTGGTGTAGTCACCACCTTCCAACTCCTGCCATGCCAAGAGGAGGCCCTTCAGAGGAGCTCATCAGGAACTGTGCCCAAGGTACATGGGTGGCTGGAAGCTCACAACCCTGGCAGCTCACAGAAGACACATGTGAAGTCATTGGTGCTTCCTCTGCTGAAGTGTGAAATTTTAAAAGGTAAAAAAAAGACCCCACTGGATTGTTGGGAGGAGGGGAACTGCTGTGTCTTGGCAAACAGCTGACCTTGGTACAAAAGGGCTGAGGTTTAGCTTGTTCTCTGGCTTATGTTTTGTAAAAAAAAAAAAAGAAATTAAATTAATTTCTGTCCTACTACTCCCAACTTCCCAGAGAGGTGTCCAGTCTGCTTTAAAGTCCTGCTGCTGAGCCAAACCAACCTGCATTGGTCTCATCAGCCAACGACTGACACAAAGGTCAGCTGTGAAGGTGGAATTTGTAGCTGTACTTGCAGGTCACCTTCCACTGCCACACTGGGCTGAACAGGGGCCATGTGAGTGGGCAACAGGAACAGGGGAAAACATCTCTCATTAGACACTGGGCAGGCAGAGATGTGCAGCACTTCTGTGCCCGAGGGAACTGAAACAAGGGAAGTTCCTAATTGCACACACAGAGGTACCACACCTGAGCCACACTGCCGTCCCTCCTGGCCCCACACCTGCTCAGCTGAGTCATCTGCAGTGACAGGATCTGACTGGAGTCCCTCTGGCAGTCACAGAGAACCCTGGCTCATGACGCTGAGGTTCAAGCAAAGCCATTTCCCGTCTCTTTCCAAGTTCTGGTTTACATGGACACAGTGGTGCAGAAAACAAAAGGTTCAGCTTTGGTCACTGACAGAAAGGCCGTTCTGGGCAGTCACATTAGTTCAACAGCCTCATGTTCCCCGTTCTCCTGCTGTACCATACAGCCCACTTTGTTGTTGAAGAGGCGAGACAGGCTCCCCTTCTGCGAGCTCCTGCCCTGGACAGACCTCTCCTTCTTCAAACGCCGCTTATTTCTCTTGCAGATTCCCCGGATGTCCCAAATCCTTAGTGTGCCGTCATGGGAAGCTGTGTAGAGCAACTCATTGTGGATCTGGAACAACAGGGTCACACTTAATACCAAACTGTACAGCTCAGGATCAGCACCATCAAACCATGAGAAATCAGAGCAAACACAGCTTGATCCCAACACTTAAGGCCTGAGCTCCTGGCAAGAGCCAGTATAAATTATCACAAAGCTGCTGAAGTGGGCTGAGACATTACCAAGTCAGGGCTCATTTCTCAGCTACTTCACAGAGCCATAAAATATAAACAGCAAGAGTTATTTATGACCCAGCCCCACTAGAAAAGCAATGGGGAGCTAAACTCGATGTCAGAGTGGGATGTAGCTGGGGATTTCTGTCCTGGTTTTGATGTTGAGCTTAAGGAGGCACCAAAATCAGCATCAGTGGGCAGTGGGGTGATCAGGAATGCTTTCCTTTTCGCTTCCCTTCTTCCTTTGCAGTAAGTTACAGTTACAAGTCCTCCTTCAAACTCTGTTGTTCTTCCAAACTTGCAGTAATTTGACCTTCACTCCCTCCTGTGGTTTAATTTCATTAATGAACCATCAGTCTGTCCACCACAGGTGCTCTCAGTCACCAGAGGTGGGTCATGACAGCGAGCACCCTACCAGCACTCTGGCTTACATGAAGCACCACCCAACCACAGCCTCCTCACCCCTCATTAATACACTTAAGATCATATTGAGGCTACCACTTCTCACTCCTCTCTCTTATCAGGATTTTTTGCCTTGTACAGTTGGAAATTAAGTTACAAAATAAAATACAAAGCCAAGCTTTGTCAATACTTAGGGCTGCCCAGAGGGATTCTATCAGTTACCACCCAAATGCACCCCCAGGTGACCATCTGCTACACAACCAGTTGCTCAGTACCCAGGAGTTTGCAATTTAAGACCAACCAGCCACTTGCTAATTTGGAAGAATACAAAAAGACAACCGTAGTTACAACTTTGTGTGCTTGAGATCAGCACCAAAAGGAATTTTGTCTCCTCTCTTTTTACTTTGGACTGTCAGCCTCCCAGAAATACTGACGATGTCTCACATTGTTAATCAAAATCCTCAACCTGCAGGCAGCTTTCACTGAGATGCTGATGCAGAGAGATGCAGATTCTCAGAGTGGACACCCCATCCCTGGAAGTGTTCAAGACCAGGCTGGATGGGGCTTGGAGCAACCTGGTCTAGTGGAAGGCATCCTTAGGTGTTCCCTCTTGGAACGAGATGATCTTTAAGGTCCCTTTCAACCCAAACCATTCTGTGATTCTGTGATCTTTGCGTGGCCACCGAGGATAACTAATTCCTCCCCTTTTAAACGCCTAGACAACATGAAAGCAAGTTTTCAGGCACCTAATGAGCTTTTAGAAAATTTTTAAAACAGTGGCAGAGACTCCTCCATTTGTCTTGCAGAGTGTGAGTCAGATATCATCACAGAGCTGCCTCAGGTTTTTTAGGGATGCCAAGTCCCAGGATGGTTTTGGGGATGATGGTATATATTATCCTGCCTGGATAAGGCAGAAACTTCTTTTCCTCCTAGAGCACTGCAAACACTTATCATTAGTGTTTTGTAATGGAAAGGGTCTCAGGAGGCTGGAGTCCATTCCATGCCCCACACAGCATCAGTTACATCTGTCTCAATTTTTGTGGCTCCTTGTTTAACCTGACCTGAAAAAACCCCAATCACAGACACAGGGCTGTCCCTGGGGACTCGTTCCGTGGTTTCACTTATCCTTATTATTAACAAGCTTTTCTAAAATTGCATACGGAATATTCAAGTCTTATCCTGGGACAACATCCAGTCCAAGACACACAGAACAGCCAGCCACACACCAATTCCCACAAAACAAACGAGGAGGCAACGAGAAGGGAGAAATCGCACAAAGAAACCCCTTCCTGACCTGGATACAGTTGATGATGAACTTGTGTCCTCGGAATATCTTCTGCAGGACTCCACTCTTGGAATTGAAAGCTCTTGCACAGGCATCACCACTTCCTGTGAACACTGCAACACAACCACACAGCCCAGCACGGCCAGACGTGAGCAGCAACGCCAGGTCAGTTCATGCAAGTTCAGAAATGCACCTGAAACATGCTCACAAAGGAGCATGACATTCCATTTCTGGGGGTTGATTCTCTCCTCAGATAAAGCAGTTCAGATCATTTTCATTTTGTGTTTGTTTTCAGTTGTATTTCTCAAAACACTGAACTGTCTTAAGCCTGAAGTTCCTACACACACCAGCATTTCACTCCACACACGCTTCATGTATCTATTTCTGCTCCTCTCTGCCATGTTTCTTTCCCTGCCTAAACATGCCTCAGTAATCCTAAGCAGGCAATTTATTTCAACTTTGGCTTTAAGGATTTCCACTAAGCCTTCCATTTGTTTTACCACAGTTATTTACGAGTTTACATTCAGTAGTACAGTATCTCCATCACCTCTGCTGCTCCAAGAGGGGCAGGGCACGGGTAAATAAATTAGGCATGACCATGAATTTTGTCTGTTCATCAGGTTTCCTTAGAGGATCTTAACTAGATGTACAAAGAATGACTTCTCAGCACTTCAGGATCTTCACATCAGATCCCCAGAATTGCTGCATCCAGCAACTGTAAGGCAGTGCTGAATATTTAAATTTTGTATTTAACAATATGCCCCAAAAGGAGCCCATTTCTGTGCTTTAAAGGTCACAAACTCCCTTTACAAACACTCACTTTCCTTCAGTTAACCCAAACCCCTCAAGTTTATCTAGATATAAATATTTCAGAGCAGCAAAAAGCAGTATATTCGCAGCTCCCTGCCTTTCATGTCTTTGCAAAGGCCACTAGCATGGAAAGATTTTCACAAAACCAAAGTGCCCGAAGACCAAGATTCCTTATCTTTTGGGGGATGTCAAATCTACAAAGAGAGGTGAAAAAAACTATCATGGCAGTAAATTCAGGACTCCAACAAGACTGGAGGACAGGCTACAAACTGCCATCAGCTTTCCCACTTCGAATGAAACAGCAGGAAGCTGGGAACCTCCCGGGTACACCTCCAAGAAACATCTGGATGTGGAAAACCGATGTCATTTTACATGGGCCACTATGAATTCAACTGCCAACACAACCCCAAAAAACCACTGTGTCCCACTCTGCAAACGAGTAACAACGAAGTAAAGCAGGGTACAGGTGCACTTTTTTTTCCAGTGAAAGGAAATCACTTAGTTCTGTTACACACATGCAGAGAGTAGGAACCAATTAAGAGCTGTTTTCACTATGCAGCTGTCAGTTTACCTCAGCTGTTGCTATCAGGATTTTTTGCTTTTGACAGGCACCCTTTATGCCTTTTGAACTGTCACTCTAGATTTAGGGAGTCTCTTTGCACTTCTGACATTCAAAGAAGAGCTGTTGATCTACCCCAGATTTAGCGTTTAAAGATATATTTATATATACCACCTGTGAAATAAACAACAACAAAAAAGTTAACAATTAATTTTAGTTTTTTACTTGAATTTCATAGACCATTGGGAGGGAGAACAGTTTTTAAACGTCCCCCTGGAGTTTTTGCAACATGAAAAGATATAAACCCCATTAAATTTTAAAGGCCTGTGCACACACTGTAAGGGAGAAATAATCAACATATCATTAAGTAAATTAGATTGAAAACCAGTTGCAACGTTCACCATGCTATTAATTATACAAGTAGGCTGAGGAAAGCCACTGGAAACACATTCTGAGGATTTAAATCTTAGTTCTCAGATCTGTCTGGACTCCCTGTACACTATAAAGCCTTCTTGGGAACGCACAATAATGCAAGCAAGCATAGTATATAAATTAATTTTTAAGGGGAAATTTCCCCTTTCAAGAATTAAAATGCATCTAATGCATTCAAACAAGTTCCTAATGTTTTTCCAGGGCATTTTTTCTACCCTTTAAGTGGAACAATTCAATTCTCCCTGTTTGACACTGTAAGTATTTTTGCATTTGATTTAAAATGAGATCTTAAATAACTCTGTGAACACTTCTATCACACTGTCGGGATGTTCTTCGCAGGTCTGACTAAATGCAGCAATATTGCCTGTATTTTAAGGGGGGGAAAAAAAGAGTGTTATGAAAAAAATAATGTGTGTGTGTGTGGCAGGGTGGTAGGATGAGGGGGAAGAGACAAAGCTGCAGAGCTGATGGGGGTGGCATCAGATAACAAAACTTTTGTTTGAGCCTAAACTTTCTTTATTCTTTAGGGTGTGGTCAAGTCTATACTGGTTGTGTGAAAAGTAGGATCAAAACTGAAAAAACGCAGGTCTGGAGGTCTTATTAATGAAGGAGACAGTGTCTCCATCTCCCACCCAGAGATGTGGATACTCCTCACTGGATCAGGCCAACATCAGCTCAGCACAGTTATCTCACCTTTGGCTAGTCTTGATTAATTCAATGTTTTGGTTTGTGTCTTTATAATTAAAAGGGGGAAAATACACACACACACACACACACACTCTCACAAAATCATTAATATTTTGTCTGCCAGTGTTCATCCTGGATTACAATTTTACAATTTCTGGTTCATTTCCTTTGCTTCCTGCCTGGTTCTTGGACCAGTAATAACTTCAGGGTGCAGCTTAGGCTTTGACCCTTTCCCCTTGGCATTTTAGCCAACAACATAAGCTGAAACCAGCAGAAATTACAATCTGCAGGTAGGGGAGAATGGGGTAGTTTTGCAATGTAGGTGAGGAGAGCAGAAATAACCATAAATCACAATTAACTATTTTAATGGAGAAAAGTAGTGCTGTGGGTCTCATGCTGAAAGGAAGACCAAAAAAAGGTTTCCTGACCGAAATAAAATTCTACCTCTGGGCTTGGTTACGTGTTAAGTTTCCAAACACAATTTAGAAATCAATTCAGTTACTGGGTTATAAATGTAGTCAGCCAGCCATGGCAAGTGTGGTGCTAGACAAGTGCAGGTACAACTCTCTGCTAACATGCACCATCTTGCATCTGTCAGCCAGTTATCACCATCACACTGACGTTCTGCCAAAAGACAGATCGAGGCCCAGATAGCAACCACTCAGTCAGTGTTGTATGTTCACTTCATAGCTGAAGTACAGAAACCAAAACCAGCAAAGTGTTTTGAAGGTCTAGATTAGCTTAAGACAGCCATGGCCACCCCTAAAGGAGAGAAGTTCTTGTTTTTGGGAAGCAAATGAAGGAACCTCAGGTCTAACAACAGTGGCATGGTAAGACCAGGATGACACAGAGAGAGCTTCACTGATAAGAACAGAGGTGCTGTCGTGCAACCCAAAACCAGAAATGGAGAGGTGACATGCAGAAGGAAAGCCAGCACAGAGGATTTAAAGAGGGAAATCTGATGGTCAGAATAAACCATTAAGTCAGCAATAGGCACTTATGTACAGAAACCACTATTAGGAGGACTAAAACAGTGGAGGAGGACTGAAAGCAGTGGAGCTGAGAACATTAGTAAGGCAAGCACTGCTTGGCTACTTCAGAAAAGTGGTTTGGGGAACAAATACACAAACCATGACAGGTAAGAGGAAAAGACCTTGTGGAAAAGGAGATAGAGTCTGAACAGGAAGCCCAACTGTTAGAAAGAAGCAGTGAGCATCTGAGATTCTGGTTTAGGACAGTCCCTTGCACAGTACCTACAAGGCAGCAGAGGCAAGCACAGGGCTGTGTATCCAGCAGCAGCACCTGCTGTCCCCGAGCACACAGAAGAAGCAGGTGACAGACCTGTGAGGTCAAAGCATGGCTACACAAACAACCCCCAGACAGCTCAGGATTTAAGCCACTTCTCTTTAAGAAACTGCCTCTTCACTTTTGAGAAGAGAGAGGTGGAAAATGGAGGGAAGATCCAAGCTTCCCACAACGAGCGGTGCAGCAAAGTTCGATACTGAACATAAACATGCTGGAGTTGAAAAAAAAGTGACAATTTCACAAGGCTTCAGAATTACTCTCCATTAACAACCTTCGATCAAAGAGAAACACCGAAAAGGAGACAGGGGGGTGCTGAACAGAGGGAAGGCAACTTACAGATCCCAGCGTGGTATTTCAAAGTGCTAACGCTGTGTTTGTGAGCCTTGTACGTTTGGATTCGCTCCCCAGTGTCAACTAACCAGCACTTCACTGTCCTGTCCGCGCTCCCCGAGTACAAGTGCCGGTTCACCAGCTGAAGGGAAGAGAAGAAGACATCAGCAATGGTCCCTCAGGCAGGTTCCCAAGAGAACTGCACTGAAGTGATTCATCCAAAGTCAGCTTCCAACTCGACAGCAACGGCTGCACCTTGAAACAGAGGGATGGTGAGCAAACCAACCTTGTGTTCTTCACAACTGCATCTCCCATTCACTTCTGGGCCTTAAAAACAGCTCACAGCTTTCAGAACATAAAAACTTAGCCCATCTCCTGGCGCAAGCAGGCAGGATTCCAGTGAGCTTAACAATGCTAACCCTGCTTCCATAATTAGCTACATTATTACAGCCTCAAAAAAAACCCCAGCAGCGTAGCTTCTGCAAAGCATATTTGACAGGAACTCTTATCGGATTGTAAGTTTTAATTACAACAGAAATTTCAGAACAATTCTGAGTAACAGAAAAATGGTACATTAAAATTAAAATCCTACACACCATAAACCAGGGTTTATATTTAGTAGGATCATACTGCACAAGGTTAGCATTTGGAAACGCTAACTCCTCCTTGAAGCTGTTCTGTATGTTCATTTACACAAGTCTTTTTAGACTGTGTTATTGAATGATGAAATAATTAACCACCCTTTACACAGACTTTTAAACATCTTCAATCAGATTTCTTCTGCTGTGTATTTAAAGTAATTCTGACTGTAAATCCCAAAGAAGATTGCTGCCTCATTCCACCAGTCATCCTGTACCCTGTGAGAACTCACTGGTGGAGAGGGTGGGTTTTATTCCATGATGGAGAATGACAAAAGGAAGGACTGTGGTTGGGGAACTGAGACAGAGAGAAAATAACTAACCTGTGCAAGACTATAAAACCAACCAGTACACAGTAAACAAACTGTATAAAGCCTGGAAGCTCACCAAGGAAAAACTCCACAGTTGCAGAGAAAAATCTGGCATCCTCTGTCTGCCTAATGAAATCAAACTAAGGGTTTTCACAGCCATTGTTATGTAGAGCTCTGACTGCACACTCCTCCAAGTTTCATGGACTTGCAGCAACCTCTGTATCAAAGAGATGGAGAGACTGCAGGGAGAACCCTCACCCACCCTCCCTCAAGAGATGTGTAGTGGAACTCAAACCATGACAAGATGGAATTTGCATAAGGAGTAATGATACCTCATTTGTCCCCCAGACACATATATCAGAAGGTTCAGATGACCAGCAGTGCACTAACCCCTGACACTTCCCAGGTATTTCCAGGAAACCAAGTGCACAACAAATGACAAACCCACTTGTCCTGGGTCTTGCTCTTAGGGCACTTCTAAGGGTCTGGTTATTCTGCCACCCCAAAAAATTATAAACCTTCAGTCCCCACTCTTTGCATGCTCCATATCTGTAAGGCTGGAATGATTTTCATGCTCTTCCATCTCCACTCCCAATCCAAAAAGGAATGACCCTGTTCCCAAAAGGCATCATAAATGAGCTTTGTACAGAACAACTCTGTGCTGTGCTACATGAAACAAAAGGTATTTTAAGATACAAAGCACTACAGTGATGAAACTGTGCTAACCCGCACAAGAAACATATGCAGGCAGAGCAAGAGCTGGTCACAGCTCCCACCAGTCCAGCCCAAGCAGGGAATGCCACACTTCCTACCAGCAGAACCTGACCCACGGAACAGAATTCTTAGCTAAATGCCAGGAGCTTGTGAAACACAACCCACTGTTAAAGGCCAGCAGTACTTTGAAATGTCACTTCCAATTACTTTCAAGCTGTTTTAACAACAGCATTAATGTTGTATCTCAGTGAGGAAAGAGAACGAATGGCCAGCAGCACTAACAAAAACCAAGAGCCACTCAGCCTGAGGAAGGTAACCTGATTTTTAAATTCTAAGCTCGGCCCGAATGGGCATGAAGAGATTTTCATGCTGCACCTGCTAAATGGAAGAGGATTCTTTGTGTTGAGATCCTGCTGTGTGGTTCTTGGTCAAGTCTTTGCACTTTTTTTTTTTTTAACATCTTACTAGCAGCATCAACCCACCCACTGAACAAGGGAAAACACTAAATTACTAAATTATAACTTCCTGCAGGTAAATGCCACTCTGCATTAACAGTACATTAGGTTATGCTGCTTTGTTTCTACATTTAAGTGGGTGTATGAATGCCAAAGTGAAACAAAAGAGCTGCAACTTGCCTAGATTTGCTAATTTGCTAGATATAAAACGTATCAAATGATGTGGGCTTACTTAGATAATTTATAGCACCAGAATTGTAAGAGCCTTAGAATCATAGAATGGTTTGGGTTGGAAGGGACCTAAAAGATCACCTAGTTCCAATCCTCCTTCCATGGGCAGGAACACCTTCCACTAGACCAGGTTGCTCAGAGAGCCATCCAACCTGGCCTTGAACACTTCCAGGGATGGAAGTGGACAACCTGTGCCAGTGCCTCACCACTCTCACTGGAAAGAATTTCTTCCTAATATCTAAACTAAACCTATTTTCTTTTAGTTTAAAGCCACTGCCCCTTGTCCCACCACTCCATACCCTTGTAAGAAGCCCCTCTCCAGCTCTCTTGAAGCCCCTTTAGGCACTGGAAGGTGCTATAAGGTCTCCCCAAAGCCCCCCCCTTCTCCAGGCTGAACAACCCCAATTCTCTCTGCTTGTCTTCATAGCAGAGATGCTCCAGCCCTCTGAGCATCTTCATGGCCTCCTCTGGAACCCCTCCAACAGGTCCACATCCTTCCTATGTTGGAGACCCCAGAGCTGGATGCAGCACTCCAGGTGGCTCTCACGAGAGCAGAGCAGAGGGGGAGAATCCCCTCCTCGACCTGCTGCTGTTGATGCAACCCAAGACGTGGTTGGCTTTCTGATGCCCAGCCAGGGATCTGGTGAGATGGCCAGCACACCAACCATCTTCATTCAAAGCCTCTCTGCTACCCAGGCTGCCCCATTATACACATCTATGCACCTTCCTCCCCCTCACCAGTTCAAGCAGGTGAGCACAGCAGCAAGAGATTCTCAGCCTTGCATGGAAAGAGAAACATTAACAGGTTAAACAATCTACCACATGCCACAGACTGAGCCTGCAGCACAGCCAACAGCAAAACCCAGTGCAGGCTCTGACTGTCACACAGCCTCTCATTTCCAGGGTATTTTTATAAAACAGAGCACGAAATGGCTATTAGTGGAGAAAGCCATCAAGAGCCATCAGCTCAGGCTGAAGCTGCAAATCAGATCTGCCTAAAGTGATGTGAAAGGCATAATCTCATCTAAATTGGTGCAGATCTGTGCAGCTAAGATAGACCTTTACAGTCCCTGCAGTCTGGGGCACAATTCATGTCACCCTGAAGCACATCCGAAACAGACCACACCTTAAAACTCACTATTTCTTCCCTCAACAAGGACAACCTCCTCAGCTGTAGCCAAATCAATTTAGGCGAGATCACTCCTCCTTCACTTGACTAAAGGTGTGCCTAGCTTACAACTCCAGCCTAAGCTACAACACTTCAGATATCTGTATTTAATCACATTAATAATCGTCACTCAACTCTTTCCGTAGCCAAAGCACTTACAAGCTGGCCCCACCCTCTATGGTTTAAATGTGATCAGTAGAAATGGTTACAATATTCCAACCTGCGACTGCCTGGAGAAGCAGTGATGTTTCCAAAGCTGTATTTTCCTTGGCTGGCTTTCGAGCACTTTGTTCACTTTGACTAACTCCCCAACAAAGCTCCTGACATGGAAAAGCATGGCCAGGCAAGGGCACCTGCGGCAGAGTGGTCAGCACAGAACAGATTTGCAGCTCAGATACGAATGGGCTGAGTGGACATTTCAAACCCAAGTAGCTTCCAAAAATTTAAAACCTGGTGACAGTCAGATGCCCAGTTCTAAAGCAGAAAAAAAAAATCACTGCATTGATATTTGTAATTCTGGACTGCTAATTTTTCTCATCACTCTGAGACATTTTGCTTTGAACCTGATGAAACACTGAGACACATGAATGGAGCAAATTTGTCTTAATTCTCAGACCAAAGTATTGGAGATGTTCAGTCAGATTGCTTGTGAGTGGTAAAGTAATAGCAGTAGCAACATTCTAGCTGTAAATGCTGAAGTAGTTACAGATTTCATTAATAAGAAATGGTTGTATCCCCCAAACACACCAGAATTTTAATTAAAAAAAAAGATTATCATATCCAGGGTTGGTCTCCCATGACAATCACAACCCTACTGCTCCACAAGCTCAGATGAACTGAATATATGCAGCAGCTTAAGACAATTTTTACCAGTAAGAATGCCAAAAATATCTGCAAAGAGCTGTTTAACAGGTATTTCGACCTTATAGGAATGGACTTCGCCATCTCAATTAACCTTTGCTGTAAGCAACAATTTAATCCTCAGCCAAGGAGAGGCAATTGGCTCCCCAGGGAGATTTGGGCACATCCTCTTTCTGAAGGTCACTACACTCAGACTTGACCCCAGGAACTTCAGGATAAGTTCACATCAGCAGCAACGTGTCCCACCACCAGCTTGTTCTCCTCATGGAGGTCAGTGTTCCTACAATCTGCCAGCTGGGTCTCCTATTCACAGCCACTTCTAAGCTAAAAATCACCAACTTGGACCAATCTCCAGTTACAACTATGTAAGCTTCGGCCGAGTTAAGACTTTCAGGATCCCATTCAAACCACATTCATTTGAACGAGCAAACAAACTCCCTGTGGGCATGAAATTGTTTTTTTTTCCTGAGAATCCATCTAGAACGAGCTCTCTGGTCTGGCTGTTAGAGAACATTTTTCAGCCTTTTTTACTGCAGTGCAAAGCAATGGCCCTAGAAACATGTTTAGTTTCTACAGGTGTTGTACACATTCACATTCCTCTAACTCACATCTTCATCCTCTGATGCAACAAATGCAACCACAGATTACAAAAAATGTGTGCACTTAATTTAAGTGATGTGGCAAGACAACATTTCTGTCCCCGTGATCACAACATAAACAGAGTCCAGGCAGTGGCTTTGTTCAAAGCATTCTTTTCTTCTAGTCAGCTTTAAAAGGCAATTGAAGGGAATGGTCCAAACAAAGGATCTTTTGCGGGAAAACCAGAAGCAAGTCCTTGCCCACTCATGTTCATGTTCTTCAAAAAGAAGTTTCCCTGTAAGAATGTTTGCTGTAGGATCCAAGCTAAATTCCAAGCTGGAACATTTCTCTCTGCCAGCTTTTGGCAGCAAAATTTTGATAAATACTCAGAGGCAGAACAATCAGCGAAGGACAAAGCAATCCTTGTAAACAGTTTGCAAAGCTACTTCCGAGGCATTTAGGAAAACATACACAAGTAAATATTTAAATCAGGGTTATACAGCCTTCTGTGGGCAGTCACATTAATGAAAAGGCGTGTTTGATTATTAATTGCAAATACTGGTCTTTAGCCAGGCCTGAAATTTTTAAGTGGAAGGACGAGCATGAGCTGTGATTACACTCAGCCCACCCTTGCTTTTTCCCCATCACTTCCTATAAAATTTCATTATTGGCTCCTACATGAAGAGGGAGCACTCAGAACAGCTGCTGTACTTCATCTGCCAAGTGATCAACACACTGCAGGAGGAAGAGAGTGAAGAGTTCTGGCTGCTCCACCGTGAGTTACCTTGCCTGACTGTGAAAATCAAGTAATCAATGCTGCCAAAGCACCTTCCATGGACACAGTTCCCACTGCAGATAGGTTTTGCCAGGAGACTTTCCCTCTCGGTCCAATTTAAATAGTGGAAGGAAGAGAAAAGCGGTGTTAGAACAAGCTGGTACCTGCAGCAGAGCTCCTTTGGCAGCAGAACACCCACAGTCAGTTTGGTTGGTAACTCACCTTCAACAGACTGACCCCAGCTGGGACAGCAGCACCAGCCCTGGGGAATATGAACAACTCACTCTCTTCATTCCCCTGTCCAGAACCACCAAGGACAGGGGAAAAGGGAAAGCCTAAAGCTCACCAATGCTTTTCTTTTCTGCCATGCCAGATTAGAGTTGTTCCCAGGCTCCCCTAACTTACACTAGCCAGCAACAACACCTAAAGGATCTCAGAGCAACTGGGGAGCGTTCAAAATCCAAACATGCCTGTGGCATCAGCCCTCTGCCTTCCACAATCCAGCTCTGCAGGAAACAAGGTGGATAACATGGGTGTGCTTTATGGCTATCCACCCAGAAAACTCCTTCAAGAAGCTCCAGGAGTTTCCATTCACTGCTACAGCAACACTATTGGTATTTACTGGAAAGTAATGGGAGAGGACTGGAACAGGCTGGACCTAATTTGCAGCAGTTCAGAACATCCCAGGGCATTCCCATTAATAACAGCTTTCTAAAGTTGGGGAAAATATGGTCTCAGTATCCAAATTTTTCCTGATCTGTGTCCAGGATGAAAGATCATACTGAGCATTTCTCAAACTTTTTGAAAGGTCATCCTCCCTTAGGGATCTTTATTTGAATAAATAAAATGAAAATAAGTCTTTATTTTTTCTTTTCCTTTATTTTCCCCACACAAGCACTATACCACCCAGAGAACAGGTAAATGCCTTTAATTCCTGGTACCAGTTCAGCTCCTCCAGGACAGGGGAGTGAAAATCTGCTGTAATTAATAGCTCACTTCTGCCCTGAAGAAAATTAATTGCTGTCAACAATTAAAACTGTCTGCTGGCTACTGTGAGCAACTCACAACTACCTCCAAGTCCTTCCTGACTTGGAGTTTGAAAAATACCATCCCAACTCACTGCCACAGATTACAACACTTCCACTAAGATGTCCGTGGCAAAAAGGGCTCCAAGAGCTTTTTGAGAAGAAATAAAAAATAATAAAAAAAATAAACACCTCTTTTCAGGAAGTTTCCTTTCTGTTGTAACATCTTTGTATGGATTCTGGTGATTGACCCCTTCCTAAAAGAATGAAAATACCATGTGGGCTGTGCTGAGAGGCTGCCAAGTGGAACAGAAGGGACAGTGTTGAACCCAGTTAGGCAGAGGGAGGAATTAGGAAAGATCAACAGCCTAAAGCTATTCCACAGCAGTGCAGTGACTGCTTAAGCTGGGATAAGTTTGAGAGGCCTAGACACTAAATGCTCTCTGTGGGGGCCTATATGTACCTCAGCTGGACTCTCCCAGCCTCAAACACCAGCTGGTGATGAGAGAAGTGAGGGGCTACCAGTTACTCACAGCTAGAAGAGGATTTGGCCAGGACTGTTGCCAACACGGTCTTGGCAGCAGCAGTCTTGTGTACTCTGAATTGTTCAGGTTTTCCAAATAGATGTATTGGTTTTGCTTTTCTTCTCCCCTGCAAGAAGTTCTGTTTGTTTAAAACCATTGTTTAATTCTGTGCTCACAAGCAGAGAAGCATTGCTCATTCCTGAGCACTCAAAGAGCGTAATTGAATTTCCCAGGCTTCTGGGAGAGGGTCAAGCCAGTTTTGTGTAACAATTTTAGCAAGAACCCAATTAAATTAAAGCAAGCTCTGTTGTTGCCAATCTGTGCCTTGGAGAAGGGCTACAATTAAACAACAAAACATAGCATGACACTAAGAACAGCCACGGATTTACTTCAGCATCCTTCAAATACGTTACCACAATATCATAAAAACAAGCTTTAACACCGAGAATTTACCCAAGCGAGACAAACATTACTCCAGGGCAACATGATTTTCTGTGGGGTTTTTTTCCCTTTCTAAAGCTGAAGAAAACCAGTATTCCTTTGGTACTCTCAGGTTTGTACTCTGCTAGTGTCAGCTGTGACTACCTTCTCTAGAAACAAAGGCAACATTTATTAAACAGCTATAAAAAAATACATCCTGTAGCCTCTGTAAAGGAAAAACACTTAAGGACAACAAACACAAACAAGGAGAGCAGCAAGAAAAACTGCTGTCATTAACTTCAGTCAGACACACACATTTATGAACATTTATGCTGACCTGAAACTAAGTTACAGACCATCCTATACTCTCTTTAAATACACTATGAGCATTTTCTGGTGGATAATGAGCGCACAGGGTAAGTGCTTGTGCGATAGTTCCCATTCTGCTTCATCTGCCTAACCTCCTCCTCTTCCCTGCATCATTAACAAATCTGGCAGCATTCACCTGAAAAATACTGCAAACAGGAAAACAGAGTATGGTTTTTCAGATCACATTGCATTTTTTCCCCTCTTTCCTTCATCATTTCCTGATTTGTCTTCCCCATGCTCTACTTCTCTTTTCCGTTTTCCTTGCCCATTTTCTTGTCTTGGCCATCTCTTTCTCCCTTTCTTTTCTCAAATTATGTCTGTGTGGCTTTTAACGTAGGATTTCTTTCACCTTTATGCTTCCTATTATCTTTTGCCCATAACTTTGTGTTGGGTTTTGGATTGTTTGTTTTTTATAAGTTTTCAGGTTTACTCTGAATTTTTTCCCCCTCCTCTTTTTAAGTTATCGGACCCCATGACTGTTTACTTGATCAGGTAATTTTCTTCAGAGTGTGGTGATCCTACTCAGATGAACACTGCACCCAGAAAACCTACTCATGAGTTCCAAGACCTAGGAGGATTTAAACAGATACTGAGCTAGAAGTTAGACCAGGACAGCCACTAGAAGCCAAGAGATCAGAAAGTCTTTTAGGAAGGAGGATTTGTCTCAAGATCAGAGAGCGCTATTATTTTGCTATTACATGAATATTTAACCTTACCATTTATAACCTGTCTTGGAAGAGCTTCTTTATGAGAAGACAACGGAGACCCACATGAGTTAAGACATGGACACCCCTTTCCAAAGGCTCTTGCAGAGAGCTCTTACCTCCAGGCAGATTACTGATCCTTGGTGCTCTTTGAACACTTTGAGCTGCTCACCAGTGACAATATTCCAGGTCCGAATGGTGTAATCCGTGCTGCCAGAGAACAGCTCCCTGTTTGGTGCGTCAAGTATAAGGCACAGGACGGCCCCGGTGTGTCCCAGCAGGGTCTGGTAGCAGCGCCCGCTGGACACCCACCAGACCTTCACAGTGCAGTCGGTGCTCCCTGTCACCAGCAGGTCTCTGCTCACCCTCTCCTCCTCCTCTTCCTCCTCCTCTTCCTCGAGAACATCCCTGGAGGAATAGTGAGCTAGAGTCAGGACACAGTTCCGATGGCCCCGGAATTCCTGGATTTGTTTCTCCTTGTCCACGCTCCAGCAGCGGGCCGTCCTGTCGTAGGAGCCGCTGAAGAGATAGTCTTTGGCAACCAGGATCCTGCAAAAAAATAAAAGGTTTTGTGCATGAACAGCATCATTCTTTTTATATAACCATCTTTTGTCACAATTTCAATGCCAAGCACCCTGAAGCATGAAAGAGTAGCATGAACACCACATATATAACCCCAATTCAGTGGTTTTAGAAACTGGACACTTCTCTGTTTCTCATTTTAAAACTGAGACCCCTTATTCAGGTACATATATTGCTACTTATATTTTTACACTATAGCATTATAACTTTGGGCATTTGTGTTTTGGTAAAATTCCTTCCAGCAGGGATTATGAACTTTCATAAGTTACACATACTAGCTACAAGTTTGATGTGTTGTTTGGTTTCGTTTTTTTTTTTTTTTTTAATAACTCATTCTTGGCAATTACTCTTTAGTCTTCCTTTATAAAAAAATTATTTATAAACAAACCTATGACAATAGCTTGGAAGTAAAAACAGAAAAAAAACCAAAACACCGAAAAAAACATTCCAGGAACCTGAATTGCAACTGACCATGTGCAAAGATAACCACCTTTCCATCACCTAATAAAGAGAGCGCAAGAAAAAAAATATACCCCTAATTTCATTTAGCTCAGGATCTCAAAAAAGGTAAAGAAAGAGTATCCCATTTATTACATAATTAAAGAGCAAATCAGAGATTACAGCTCAGGAATTCAACTTGCTGGGCCTCCAAAACACTGAGTTGTAGCAGCACAAACATATAATAACAGAAAAATCTCTAGAGTTCATATTTCCAAACCAGAGACAGGGAACATCCATAACCTGCCTTCTTTGTCAGCTGAGTTTGGTCCTCTGGAACCTTTCAAACAGGCAACAAAGTCATATGAATAGGGAACACATTTCCCATTTGCTGATTCAAGCAAAAATCAGGCCAGTGCCAAAACACAGAGCCAGCCTTCCTAACTATTTACAGAATCTTGCTACACATCATATGTGTTTTGAGTTTAGCAAGGAACAAAAAAAACCCACTCACCCACCAGAAAAGAAATGTTAAAAAAATACCAATCTTTTACTGCTCTATTTGCCATTAATTAAATCCAGTCCAACTATTAAGAGGCACTTTAAATAGACAGGCCAATCAGCCACCCACAATTAATTTAATAGTTTCATATTAAACTTAATTTGCACAAACAGTAATAAAAGAAAAAGCCCCGACTTTATCCCTCTTGCCAACACAAAGACTTGACACAATGTTTTTAAAATCTATTTATCAGAAGCATCTGTTATCAATTGGATAATTTCTTCTGGAATTTCATTCCTAGCCCTGGATCCAATCCCCCTGCTGTTTGCCTTTCATTTCTCTCCTATCTGCTGTGTATGTCCGTGTCAGCACTGCTGTTAGGAAAACTAATCACTGCAGCACAGAACACACGTAGCACGAACTCAAAGGTTCACACAACCCGTTTTATTAGTGAAGTAAATGGAGAACGGCAGCAAAATGACAATATAGGTGTGATAACAGATTACAGGGACGCAAGGGGCGAGCTCCAGGGAACCGACCTGTTCACAATCGACGTGTGGCCTCGGTAAATGGCCAGGCACTGGCCCGTCAGCACATCCCACTTCCGAATGGTGTGATCCGCACTGCATGTGAAGGCAGCCTCGTTTTCCAAGTGGCAAAAGGTGATGTAACTTTCGTGTCCTGGGAATAACAAAGGAAATAAATCTGGTCACTCTGCACGCGAGCAGGACTGACTAGTAGAGCCCTTCACCTCGACTACAAGAAAAATAAAACAAACAAAGGAATGAAACTCCGGTTTTGGATGCGCCACCATGTTCTTCACACTTGAGGATTTCTATAAAACAAAAATATTTCAAGCAACAGCAGAAAAATGCACTGAAATCAGGATTAAGTGAAAGAGTAAAACAGTACAGTTCCACCAATCAAGCAGCATTACAGAAACATAATGAGCTAAACTAATATCAATAAAAAAACTCAGACTAATGAAGTTTAAAACCAATAAAAAATTGGCTTATTTTTTTTAATAAAGAAATGCTTTTGCTTTCTTCTTGTGAAATAAGGGGTAAAAAACCCAGCCCATTGATTTTCAGGATACAAACAGCCAAAAATTAAAGCATGAAACTCTGAAAAAAGGAAGCAACATGAGACTTACCAGCAAGTTTAGTTTCATTGTCCAGGCAGAATGAAAAGCAAGCAAAAATATATGTCTGCTAAATAGTTAGCCAATACTTTCCCCATCATGACTAATAACATGAATAAACCCCAAACTTTTCAAAGTATCAGTATACCTTTAAGGAAATGACACAGAAAGACAGAATAAGAGCACAGTTGTTTATAAAATATTCTGAGTACACTGGGATTCTGCAGTTACAATAAAAACAGACATAAGCACTGTTCTAAAGATGTCATGCTGACAAACAGGGTAATGCAAGCAAAGAGGAATCAATATTACAACCTCAAGCTTTTGTTGTTGCTTAGCAAGACGTGCCATTTTTCTATTGTAACATTAAATGCACTGCATTTGAAAATCACCTCAGGATTCAAGTCCCAGCTTTGCTCAAGATCTCTTGTGTGAAATTGCTGTCACCTATCTAATCACTCTGCTGGTATTACTTTGCATTCTTCTATTCTAACATTTAGACTATAACTTTTAGGACCAAAACTGCTTCCTCCTAAGTCACTATCACAAAAGTGATAGTTATGGTTGAAGCTGGTGGGCCCTACTGTGATTTAAATAGTGTTCTTTGAGGAAAAAAAGAAAAAACAATCTAAGAAGGACAAATGTGCTTAAAGAGAGACAGACGGACAAAGGTATTAGAAAAACAGAATCATGTTGTAAAATAAAGAGATGGTAAAAAAAAAAAAAAGGGAAAGCAGACTGCCCAGTAAAACAGTTTCACTGACTGTGAAAAGCAGATTTCACTACAACTGCTGTAGTTGAAAAGCCTTGTTGTAGTTCAAAAGCAGACCAGAATCCACGTTAGAAACATGTGGCTGGTTTCCGCTACAGCAAATTCATCAGATGCCAAAAATTAAACAGATCACCAGGGCTATAAGCAAAACTATACTCATAGTTGTGAAACTTTTTGCAAAGCAGCCTAAATGGGACAGGTTTCAACCACTGGATTTTTTTTTCTCACAGCATCATGTAATCCTGCTCTGAGATCAAAAAAGCATCTTGGTTACTGCACTAAAGTCTGCCAGTCAGATTTTAACTCAGTAATACTCGACCCACACAGAGGATGCCAAAACCCCCTGTGGCAGACAAGGTCTGGTGCTGGTCTGGCCAAGAGCAGCCACCACACATGTCTGTTGGTTGTGCTGTGGTGGAGCTTGAAATTGTGTGATAGACACAGGTTTATCAGTAATTATAGCTTGTAAAATGCAAATTTACTCATCAACTGTGTGTGTGCACAAATATAAAATACATACAATTATCTGATTCAAACAACAGTTCACAAACCACCCAGCCAACCTTCTTTAGAGTTTACCCCAAACACTGGCAGCACATAGGCCAGATTCCATAATAATGAACATTATCCAATACATTTCTCTTTCTAGTTAAAAGCTAATTAGTGGTTAAAAAGGATTTCTAAGCCTAAATCAAATGCAGCGAGTTTTCCAGAAGTTAGAACCATGGCAGGATGTGGGGAAAAAGACAATACTCCATAGTGAAAAACAAGGAACCAAGCAAACAAACAACAAGAAAATCACAGCAAAAACAATCAGAAATTCCAAACTTAACAGCTTTATTTTTTTCTGTACTAAAAGAACACGAGTGAGAAAACAAACATCTTCAGTGTACATCTGACTCCTGCATGACTGTACTTTCCACAGAGTTTTTCTTTTCTTTTTAATTGTTGATATGCTAGTCTAAGGGTAATAAATTTTGTTTAAGATGCAAAAAAATTTCAATTAAAAAGAAACCCAGCAATTAACATTTCTGTGTGTCAACTGGGGGGAGGGGGAGAATAATCTATTTAGTAAGGTTTCTTTCCAGACTTCTGGGTCAAGAGGTTCTAAATAAAGACTGTCTGGAAAATGAGATGATTAAAAGGACAAAAAAATAAAAAAAAAAAGAGAGAGTGAACAACAAAAAGTCCATATTTCTTCAGGGTGTAAAACAGAGAGCTCCCAGAAAGAGACAAAACTTAAATGACTGCTACATTCCACACCCTGAGATAAAAGGATCCGTGCCTTCAGTAGCGCCGGTAACCTGCTTGGGGTTGAAACAGCTTCTGCTTAAACGTAACTGTAACAAATACCCCCCCCAAAAAAAAACCCACAAAACAAAACAAGCATGATTTTGGCTGCCCGGCAGGCTGCAGGGACTGAAAGCGACCGGGACGTGCTGTGTGGCCTGTGACACGCTTTGGGCTCAGATCCCAGGGCTAAGAAGAGAAGCTCCCGTACCTTGGAAGTGTCCGTGGCACTGGCTGTCGGCGGTGCTCCAGAGCCGAGCGGTGCCGTCCTCGCTGCCCGTGAGCAGCCGCTGCCCGTCGGGGCTCAGGCTCAGCCAGTTGATGCCCCCTTGGTGATCCGTGCAGACCTTCACGGCCGAGCCGCTGTTCCCCATCCCGGCGCTCCCGGCGCTGGCCGAGCCCGCGGGGTCGGATCACGGGCGCTCCGCAGCCCCGGGACCTCCAGCCGTGTCCCACCGACCGACTTCTGCCATCACCTCAACTCCCAAACATCAGCAGGGTAGTCCGGACTCCTACACAGGGACACAAAGGAGGAATGAGGAGGGTAAGTTAAATCATTTCATCCCCTCGTGGATGCATCGCTTCCTCGGGGTGTGTTAAAGCCACTGAGAGCCTGTTTCCCCGCAGGATCTGAAGCCCTGAGGCGGCAGACGGGCCGGGGTATCCTCTCCATGGGCACCGAGGCACGTCCAGCCCCTCGGGGGGGATCGATCCCGAGCGGTACCGCTACCTGGTGCCCTCGCCGAGGCTGCTGCTTCTCCAGCGACCTCAGGGTTGACTCGGGGCACGCTCAGGCGGCCCCCCAGCGCCCCAGGGCTGCCGCCATCCCTCCCGCACGGCCCCCCGGCACCCCCGCCCCGGCACTCACCGCCCCGGACGCGGCGATCCCGCTCTCGCCCTACGGGGAGGGGGAACCTCCTCTGGCCGGGGCGCCGGAGCCGCCGCCGGGCCGAGCGCGGGGTCCCCCCTCCGCCGCCGCCTCCGCCCCGCGGGGAGGCGGGCAGGGCTCCCGCCGTGCCCCCTCAGCCCACCCCGGGGCGGGCCCTCACCCCCCGCCCCGGCCCTGCCTCCATTACCTCCCGCTCCATGTTCCAGCCGACTCCCCCCCGCCCGCGCTGCCTCCTCGGTGCTGCCGCGCCCCCCTCATCCGGAGGTGCCCGGCAGCCCTGCTCCTCCGGGACGGCCTCCCCCCGCACCGACCCCCCTTCCCGGGGGAAGCGGCATCACCGCTCCTGCCGCGGTTCGGTCACGGGGGAGCGGAGGGGCGGGAGGGTCTGTCCCGGATGGAGTCCCCCTGACAACCACGCCACGGCCGGAGGGGTCCCGCAGCACCTCCCCATCCCCAGCGGAGCCCCCGGGCTCGTCCCGAGGGAGGCATCGCTTCCTGCCGCACGTTCGCTCCCCCGGGCTCCGGCCCCGCTGCCTCGGGGGGCACCGGGGGCGTCGCGTTTTCCTCCATGGCCGGTGACTCCCAGGGAGAGTCTTGTGCTGGGGGCTATGGTGAGGGAAACCATCGCCTTTTGTTTCTCCTCTCTCCCCCCTCCCTGGATGAACTCCCGCCCCATTTCTCCACGGGAGCCCCGAGCCCCCCCTCTCGCTCTGCCCCTACCTCGAAGCTTTCGCGGCTGTTTCTTGTTAATGCGGCCCCTCACCCATCCATCCCACGGGCAGGGCTGCTGGGGGGCCTTTGTGCTGCCTCAAACTGCCTGTACGAGGGTTCCGACAGCTGCTCCAAAGTGGGGCTCCGCTACCTTGGGACTGATCCGAAACATGGGCTGAAGGGTCCTGTCCACTGTGTAACTGAAGGAACGAAGGATAAATCCACCGGGCAAACTATTGTGGAGGGGACAAGATCCCCCAGAAAGGCAGCAGCAGGGTCTGATGTGGTTTCCTCCCCTAAGAAATGAGCTGCAGCTCATTTGCTGCTAAAAACATGCCAGCAGTCGTAGGATAAATCACAAAACCCCGTTCTCCTGGCTCATACCCCGTTGGATCAGAAAAGCACCTTTTTGTGTCAAGTCACCAACCTCCAAAGGAGCCCACTGGCTCCATAATCGGGGTCCACCAGGCACTGGCAGCGATTTAACAAGACACCAACCCTGCTCTGGCACGATGCCCCTCAGCGTGTGGGCCGTGCAGAAACACACGCGTTAAACGGGCGCTGCACGGGATGTGTTATTTTGCACAGCACGTTCTGGCAGAGGCCAAACAGGACTAATATGTCACACCCAGTGCAAACACGAGGTGATCCCGACTCAGCTGCCCAGTGGAGGAGCTTGCAAGACGGAGCTGCAGATTCGGGTTTTGCAAGGGTCAGGTTGAGCCCCGTGGCTTATCGTCCCCAGCTCTTTTCTGAAGGCAGGCGCTTCCACACAGCCCTCGTGCATTCGAGAAATTGCCGAGAAGTTTTGGTGTGAGATGTGAGTACTGTGTTTCTTCCCTCTGAAAATCACATTATCCGTGAAAAGATTTTTTTTTTTTTTGGACATGGAGGCCTGGGAATCGGCTGCTCTCAGGGAGTGTCCCTCACCATCTGCTCGTACATCTGTCAAATCCACTCACAAAACCCCTGCCCAGAGTCCTTGCTCGGGAAACTGTAGGATAGATTAGCACTCCTTTTTATTTTCCTGTGCTGCTATGATGTGAATGCAAGGAAAAAATCAGATGGAAGGGATATTTTGTTAGTTTCGAGGCAGGTCTGCACATTTTAAACACGCACAGTTTAAATCTCAAGGGGAGGCAGAGCTAGAGGGGAAACCCTTGGCCACAGCTCAGCCATGCATCAGCTGTGGGAGCAGAGGGTGTGCTGGTCCTCCCCCCCCCACCCCCTTCTTAAAAGCCTTTTCAAGGTTTTTTATTATTATTTCTATTTAATATTTCCCTCCTGTGGTGACTAATGAAAACATCTAAGCTTTTGAATGTTTTCATGAATATTTATTCATTTTCTTGAGGGTTTTTTTAATTCCTTTTTTCCGTCGGTTTTATCTGCCTGAATTTTAGATAAGTTTTCTTTATTACATTTGTGTTCTTGTGTTTTGTTTTTTTTTACTTGTGGGACAATGAGGAAAGTAAAAGAAAATTATCTGCTATTTGATTTTGCTCCTCAGGGCCCAAATCCTGTAATGAATCCTCCTTCATCCAGACACCCAAGGATGTGCAAGTATGAAGCTCAGGGTTGCTGATGTACATTTCAATTCTCATTCTACAACAATTTTCTATTAGCTGTGTAGATAACTACAGATATGTACATACACAGATGCATGAGCTGCTCCTGTAACATCTAGATAATTATAAAACCTTAAGAAGGCTTCTAGATATCTAGGGCTGGATTCACAGTACACAGTGGCTATTGCTAAGTTTGGAGTCAAGTTTAAACTCTTTTGGCAGGCAGCAGAAGTAAACGAAGGATGTAGAGTTTAGATGAGCTACACTGTCCTTTGGAAGGGGAGAGAGGTACCTCTGTCCTTCACCACAGACTATGCCAGGAGTCCAGCATCAGGAGGCTCCTAATTCTCTTCAATTAAGTAGAACAAATTGAGACCTTATCTTTAAAACATATCAGCAGGGGTTCAACCTGCTCTCATATCTCTGATCCAGAGACAACATAGTGCAGGGAGATTCTTTAAGTCCTCCCCACAAGACAATAGTGGTCAGGTGCAAAAGCCCCTGCGAGCAACTTCATCCCAAATTATCTGTTTTTTGACTCACCTGCAAGACCTTCAGACACACAGCATAGGCTCCCAGGCCTGAGAAAATACTAAGTCAGCCTTTACGTCACTATCTGCACTGATACAAATGCTGAAGAACACTTTCCTTGAAAATATTTCCGTAATGATGCAAACGCTTCCAATAATTTTACTGATGTTGTTTGTGGAGGAAGGAACCCAGGCAGCTCCTCCATGTTCACCTCCCCCTCCTGGGGCCTTGGGTATCTGGATGGATTGCAATGGTCTTTGATGGACAACAAAGGCTCTTTGTTCTGTCAAAGAAGCAGAGAGCCAGAGAGCTGGACCAAAAACAAAAGAATAAAGTGTGCAGCAATGCAAATGATCTTTCTTAGAGAATTAACCCCTTCCACCATCCCAGCTCCTCCGCATTCCCTACAGAAGGGCCTTTCCAGCTGCCAGTGTCTGTTCACTTTCATCCTATAGCTCTGCTTCGGGCTGTCAAGCTCAATCACTGTCAAAATTGCCGATAATTAAGTATTACCTCCTTCTTCACCTCAGAAAACTGTAAAAGCCAACTAACTCTCTTTAAACTACTATAAAGGGCCTGGAAGATCAATAGTGGCGTGGATATCCAGCCTTGGCTGGGGTTTTTTGATTTAACCACATCATTATAGTCAATGAGAACTGTTAGACTCAAAAGCATGTTACAGTGGTGTCTCCAGAGCCAAGGTCCTTCACTGAGCAAACCTAAGAAAATTTTCCTGGTAAGCTTAAATTTGATTTTAAAATCAATCCAGTCACACTGGTACCACATAAATAAAATTTAACCTTAAATAGATTTAAATGTATCTTCTACTGGTTTGATTTAATTCAAAAAATGGTCAGCATCTAAGTGGCTTCACTTGCATTGAGAGTTGGCATTGTTGAAGGCAAATTAAGTTCATATGGGTTTAATTATCAAAACTCAACCACATGCAGCCTTACTTTGAAGTGAAAATGTAGGAGCAGAAGTGTTTGAAAGCAAGGGTTTGTTTGATCCACCACTGGAAGCAGAACTGGACAAGCACTTGTGCAGGTACACAGACAACTGTAGTATTGGCAATGGTACTAGAAAAAAACAAAATCTGTTTTGGGAGGTGTGTAGACCCTCCCCATCCGCCTGCCTTGGAGTTTTATGCGTTGTCCCAGGGTCATCCAAAAGCTCTGGGCAGCACTGCACACCGTCTGAAGCTATCCTTTCAGACTGCAGACCCAAGCTGCAGGACTGAACTCAGCATTGCAGCTGTTTCTGACCCCTCTGCAATTGGTCTCTTTTACAGGCAACACAGTTCTTCCTTCTCTCATTTCCATGTGAATCCTTTGCAGCTTAAAAAGCCCTGGAGTGATCAGAAGTCTAGTTTGGGCACAAACATTTAGCAAATTCCCCTTAAGGATGAAAGATGGTCAGAAACTGTCACTCACACTAGATTTTCCTGTAATTATACGTAACATTCTTTTTGGTTTTAATCAGTTCTGAAACAGTATTTCCAAAACAGCTATTTCTGAAAATATTTGGTTTCCTGAGTTTCCTACACTGCTGTAACAAGAATACCCATCTGCAAAACCCATCCACATCTCTGCTGTCCACTGCTGCTTCACCCAGGTGGATGGACTGCTCCCAGTCAATATCAGGAGTCTGAAAGCCTGGGATCTGGAAAAATCCAATGACCTAATGAATGGATAGGTGATGGTAATGTTGCTGGGTGGTATAAATGGGGTCTTAGTAGCTAACCCCAATGTCAGTCCCTGGTAGCAATGGGAATTTAGCTGAGAACTTGGAGTAGGAGGGGAGAGGATTGCATTAAACTTTTTGCTCTGATGAAATGATGGCTTAAAAGCACTGCTAGGAAGGCATCTTATCTCTCTGGCTAAGAAAGCAGATGCAATTTCCTAGAAATTTTTAAGCTTTGACATGCCAGGAAGTGTAAGATCTCACTGCAGCTGTTCCAAAGATCACTGTAAATAGGTTTCCTCCCCCCTAGTCTGCAGATGACAAGGCAGTTCCATCATGTCATGGCATAGTGGGAACTTTACTGCGTAATTCAAAATCACAAATATTTACAAAATTACAAAATAATAGTCAAAAGCTCATTTTACCCTGTTCCCTGTTTCGATGGGAGCCCTGCTGTTTCTTCCAGACGGTAAGTTGGCCTCTTGCCCAGACCATATATCTCTTATGACAGGCTCCTTAAGGACCAAATCTAAATGGAAGCCAAAAGAAATATGTCTTACTAAGTGACACAAGGGTAACTTTCTGGGTCT